CATTTATATATATGAGGACATTTAAGTTCTATTCTTAGTAAACACTGATGTTGTTTTATTTGTACTAAGTAGTCATTGTTTTTATATCCCTGGAGGCTCAGTGCCTCAGAGAGACTTTCTGGGTGTTTTTTCTTCCCTATTTCTACATATAACCATTTACTGCAATAATATGACAAATGTCTTGTTTGTTTGCTTAAATAGATTTTATTTTAGGGCAGTCTAGATTCATAGCAAAATTTGGCAGGAAGTACAGAGAACTCCCACAAACACCTGACCCCCCAACCCCAAACGCAGAATCTCCCCCACTATCAACAATCTACATCAGAGTGGTTAATTGAACCTATATTGACACACAAACATTATTCAATGCTCTTAGTTTACATTACGGTTCATTCTGGTGTTGTAATCACTATAGGTTTTTACATATGTGTAATGATATATATGCATCTTTGTAGTATCATGCAGAATAGCGTCACTGTCCTAAAAAAGTCTTTGTATTCCACCTATTATCTTTTCTTCCCCCGCAACCCCTGACAATCTCTAAACCTTTATGTCTCCATAGTTTTGCCTTTTCCGGAATGTCATATGGATGAAATCACACAGAATTCTTTCCAGATTGACTTCTTGAACTTAGAATTATGCATTTCAGGTTTCCTCCATGTCTTTTCATGGGATGGTTGTACACTTCTTTTTACTGCTAAATAGCATTCCATTGTCTGGATGTTCCACAGTTAATTTATTCACCTACCAAAAGACATATATGCTTCCAAGTTTTTGCCATTCTGGATAAAGCCACAACAAATATTCATCACAGGTTTTTGTGAGAGTATAAGTTTTCAGCTCATTTGAGTAAGTACCAAGAAGTGCGATGGCTGGATCACACGGTAAGAGTATATGTAGTTTTGCAAGAAACTGCCAAACTGTCTTCCAACGTGGCTGCTCTACCTTGCACTCCCACCGGCAGTGAATGAGGCTCCCTGCTGCTACACATCCTTATCAGCACAATTTGCAGTATCCAGGTTTGTTCAAGATAATCACTAGGGTTCTTCTAAGAGAGAGGCAAGAGGGTCAGAAGTGAAGAAAAACACGTCATGATGGGAAGCAGAGGGCGGAGTGATGTGGACAGAGTCTGAGGAATGCAGGCAGCTGCTGGATGCTGGACACTGCACAGGACAGACTCTC